TCTCATTCCTTTTGATGGCTGTATAATATTCCATTGTATATATATACCACATCTTCTTTATCCATTCATCTGTCGATGGACATCTTGGCTCTTTCAAGAATGTGGGTATTTTTATGTCTGCATGTATCATCAATGCGCCCCAATTTGGTGGAATAGGAGACTGGGGATAACCTTATCAGGTGAAAGGTGTACAGTGTCCCTCTAGGGACCCTTCTTCCCCACCTGTGATAAGAGTTACTTGGTAAAGCCAGAAGAACTGCTAAACTGTGCCATCCTTTTCCCTCTGGCTAGGAATAAGGTAGAAGGAGGTATTTGTGGAAAAGCTGCTGAAATAACTCTCCCAACAGGCAATGCTATTACAAACAAGAGAACAAACAAAAAGCCTATTTTAGAAACCTTTATAGTTTGTTTGTTTGTTTGTTTATTTATTTATTTGACAGAGAGAGAGAGAAAGAGCACAAGCAGGGGGAGTGGCAGGCAGAGGGAGAAGCAGGTTCCCCGCTGAAAGCCCCGATGTGGGGCTCGATCCCAGGACCCTGGGATCATGACCTAAGCCAAAGACAGACACTTAACTTACTGAGCCACCCAGGCACCCCTGGAAAACCTTTATAAATAAAAGCATTTTGAATTGATGATGATTTAAAAAAAATTGATTATACATTTTAAAATTTTGTTATTCTGCCATATTAGCTCACTTAATTTTTCTCAATTTGCTAGTATTTTACTACTACAATGAGATTGGCAGGGGAATGATTTTAGATAATAGTGAACTCTGATATCAGCATAGTCAGTCATAGGATAATTCACTTCCTGTCCTGCTGAGCAACCTTCTTTCAAGTTGAACCTCTGAAGGCTCTGCATAATCAGTAAGAATGACTAGAATCTGCAAATAGTGGTCTTCAACTCAAACTCATTATATTTAAGTTTCAATTTAGTGTATTTGCAGAGCTTTCCAGTCCTTAGTCCTTACCCACTGGGAAGAACTATGTTGGGAGAAAAAATTGGATTTAATTCCCCCAAAAGGAGGCATCTGAGTGAGGGGAAATATTAGCTAACAGTTTATTATTTTGTTGTAACTTTTTATTATATCGTTTCAAACTTATAGAAAAGTTGCAAGAAATAGTGTAAAGAACCTCTTATAGTGTTTCCCCAAGTTTACCAATTATTAACATTTCACCCCATCTGCTTTGTCATTTTCTCTCCATTTTTCATTCTAAATTGCTTGAGATTAGGTTGCAGGCACCACAGCCCTTTACCCCTAAACATTCCAGTGTGTATTTCCTAAGAAAAAGGATACTGTCTCACACAGTCACAGCACAATTATCAAAGTTAGGAAATTTAACATGACTCAGTAACAAAACCCATATCCATTTTCAAATTTTGTCAATTGTTTCAACAAGGTCTTTTATGGTTAATTCTTTCTATCCATCCACCGTGGCCTCCCCTCACCAACCCCAATCCAGGATCCAATTCAGGACCGCAAGTGACACATCATTGTCATGTCCCTTTGGTTTCCTTTAACTCACAGCAATTTCTCAGCTTTTCTTTGTCTTTCATTAAACAAATAATGTAAATGCATTGTCCTCACCTGTATGGGCTGTAGCTCTGGCAAACAAGGAGAAAAATAGTCTCTTCACTTGCCCTCCCACTTCCTGCAGCGGCTGGCTGCTTTCTGTTTCTGGATAATCCACTGAAGGCACCATGTGTCTGCTACTCAGAACGAGGGCTGCCAGTCCCCCACTGGCTTCCCTGGAAACCAAGTCAGGTACACTACCTGTGGCTTCTCTTCCCACCAGGTCTCTGTGACCAGTCTCATTGACTTAAAGAGCTTGAAGTCCTTCCGGACCCTAAGAGCCCTGAGGCCCCTGCGAGCATTGTCTCAGTTCGAAGGAATGAAGGTACATTCTTCAGGCAGATGGGAGGAAGATCAAGCTGTCAGGGAGAGGTGGAAAAGCCAACTGCTCTTCTTGGGCTGGGCTTCCCTTAAATTGCCAAGCTTTTCCTGGGCTCCTTCCCATCCAATCCACTGCTTAGAATTTGAGAGATGGAGAAAAATTTAAGATATAGCATCCATTCTGTGGTAGCCAAGATGGGCTCCGGTTTCCTTTCAATCCTAGGGCAGGTGTCCCATAAGTCTGTAACACTGTCATAAAATGACATTTCTCAAGTGATCCTCAATGACAACAGAAAGGACCCATTATCTATGGAGCTGAAAGCAGGGCTTGTCGTAGGATGCAGGGTTGGGGGTTTGGAAGTAGAAAGTAAAGACAGAGCTCCAAGAGGTCCAGTCCCACACATCAGGCCCATCCTGAGATCCAGAGCTTGGTGAATCCCCTGCATCTGTTATGTTTTTCTTCTGTTTTGTTTTTTTTTAAGGTGGTAGTCAATGCTCTCATAGGTGCCATACCTGCCATTCTGAATGTTTTGCTTGTCTGCCTCATTTTCTGGTTGATATTTTGTATCCTGGGAGTAAACTTCTTCTCTGGAAATTTTGGAAGATGCATTAATAGAACAGATATAAACTCAGTTATAAATTACAGCACTGTTGCAAGCAAAACTGAATGTGAAGGTGGAAATTTAACTTGGGTCACCCTTCCAGTCAACTTTGACAATGTGGGAATGGCTTACCTTGCCCTGCTGCAAGTGGTAAGTGCTGTTGGTATGTTTTTTACTGTGAGGAGAGAAACCTTAAAAGAAACATAAATCATTTCTCAGTTTAATAAAAACACAGTGAGTCCATTAAGATATAGAATCAAATCCCAATTCCCCATGTGGAAGCCAATGCCCTCTGGAATTGTTCCCCATTGAGCATCTCCAACTTTGCTGTCTACTGAGCCTCAACCTCCCAGCAATGCCCCTTTACATCTCACCCTATCTTGTATGGTCCCTTATTCTCCAGAGCTCCAGCCAAGGAGGACTGGAGCCTCAGATGCAAAACCACACCATTAGCAGCAGTTCTCTGTTGGAAGTCAGTCCGCTGGTCAAACCACAGTTGCCAGGTCTTAGGCAGACAGTGCAAACATGTAGCATCAGGAAAGCCTCAGCCAGGCTCTTTCCAGTAGTTGTTACACAGCCTCTCTAGAAACTTTTAAGGCAGAAATTTCCTTTAAAAAAAACCTTTTTATCTTGTAGAAATGAAGAAGAAAAAAAACCCCAAGACACCCATTTTTTAATTCCCTTCTACTGTTCTTTTAACCGAACATTTTGTCCTGGACGTTCATTCCTGTCTATCTTATATACATCTGCCCAGTGGGTCTTGCTTGCTATTGTATGGCACTTGTCTGTTGATAGCAAGCCTATAATTATGTTCATGTTTATTTGCTTTTGTTACAGGCAACATTTAAGGGCTGGATGGATATTATGTATGCAGCTGTCGATTCCAGAGGGGTGAGCTTTTGTTCTACCATGTTCTAGAGTGCTAGGGTTAAATCAGGGATATCATGACTGCATAGACAGTCTAGAACTTCCCACATCATAGTTCCACCAGCCAGCGTTCTTTGCCTTGTTTTCTTGGGACAATGACTATGAAATAGGGACAAAAGAAGTTCTTATTCATCCTTCCATGAGTATTACATCCTATCTTGCTCCAAAGTCCAGTTCTGTTTCCCCATAGTGACCAGGGAGAAACCTTTCAAGGAGTAGATGGAGCCAGAAACAATAGAATCACAGGATGCCTTGATTTTCCTCTCTTACTTCTTTTCCAAATGGGTATTCAGGCAGAAACCAAATTTCAAAAGGTAATAGCCCTGAACTGTGGGAAAACATTACAGCTGGACTAGCGTCTGATAAGAGAGACCTTCCCATGGCTCCAGGCTCAGAGACTAAATGGGTTTCTGGTGATTGCCAACTGTAAAATTCTAGTTAAGTAAAAAGTAATCATGGATTCTGAAAGTTGGAAGAGTACTCAGCCATCTAGTCCATTTCTATGTCCCAGTTGGGAAAATCGAGAATTGGAAAGGAAGAGTGTTGCCCAAAACCATGGAGTAAGCAAATGATTGAATCAAGAATGGAATCAGCATTGTTTATTTTTTTCCTATAATCACACACATGTTGTTGTTCTGTTTGAGAGTCTGCAGAGCCTGGCACATAGTAGGTATGTGAGCTGGTAGGGCAGTGGAGGTGGTATGAGAAGTGGGTTATTTTTTTTTAATGTAGGCTCCATGCCCACTGTGGAGCCAAATGTGGGGCTTGAACTCATGACCCTGAGATCAAGACTTGAGCTGAGATCAAGAGTCAGATGCTTAACTGACCGAGCTACCCATGCATGCCAAGAAATGTTATAGTAGTAGTAGTAGAGGCAATTTATAACAAAGACAGTATTTTAAAATTTTAATGTGCTTTTTTTTTTTTTTTTGTCTTTTGAATATATGACCTTCATCTTAGTTTAACTTAGACATCCTTGTGCCTTGAAGTGGAGATGGGAGATGGGGAGGAAATCTTATGCAGGAAGAGGTGTGTGGCTTACATGTTCCCTGAATGAATGATAGATGGGTGGAGGTGTGTGGAGGGATGCCCATCCTAATGCTGGTCCTGGAACATTATGGCTGGTGTGTATGTACTGGCTTCTAGCATGATGATGCCCTTGTCTGTGTAGTCACAGACAATCTTGCTGGTCTCAAATATTGGTGAAACCATGGGCCTTTCTCCCCATTTAATTCCTCCTGGTCTCAAACACTGACTCTATGCCATGTCCTCTACATGGTCCCCTGACCCAGCAGTCTACTCCCATCTCTTGCCAAAAGCCCATCATGGTAGGCCTATGGCTATCGATTCCATGTCCAAGCTTCATGAAAACCGAAAAATTTGAGAGACTCTCTCTGTCTAATTATGCTACTCTAACCTCTTAACTCATCCTGCCTGTGCAGTGTATCCAAGGCCTTCCCAGCAGCAGCTTCCTCTTAGAAAAATACAGAATTTGAGCAAGAATATCCTCTTTGTACCCCCATGTTCTCTTCAATTTACTGAATCCCAAGTCCCTTCTCCAAACCCAAAGAGGGTGAATCAGGACACACATCTCAAGGCTCTGATGTTCTCTCTCTCTCTCTTTTTCTGACAATTCCCTAGGTACAACAGGGGTGATCTTTTGTCCTTTCCTCTTCCTCTTCTTATCTGAACCTCTCTTTGCAGGACTGTTAGCCTGCTATATAATCTTATTTTATTTTTTTTATATTATTTTTTAAGATTTTATTTATTTATTTGACCGAGGGAGACACAGTGAGAGAGGGAACACAAGCAGGGGGAGTGGGTGAGGGAGAAGCAGGCTTCCTGTGGAGCAGGGAGCCTGATGTGGGGCTCGATCCCAGGACCCTGAGATCATGACCTGAGCCGAAGGCAGACGCTTAACAACTGAGCCATCCAGGTGCCCCTATAATCTTATTTTAAATATCAGATGCTGATAGTGATTCTTTCTTTCCATTGTATCGTTTCTGTACTAATTCCTACCCCTAGTTCAAACAAACGGACATCTCAAGCCAACTGGGACTAAGGTCACGTACTCTTCAAGACAAAAGACAAAAATGTTTTCAAATATTACCTTCATTACATTAGTCTATACGGTGGGTGTTGAATAACAAATATCATAAAAACATTCAACAGGTGACAGAGCTATCAACACTCATACCTATATCTTTGAATGTGATCTGGAGAAAGAAAAGAGAAATTGTCCTGCCACCTATGCCCAAAGTGTATAAAGCCAATGACAATGTAAAGAACTTGTATGAAAGGGATTTTGGATGCTTTTGGTCATACTTTGAGTTGGGGGAACTTGGTTGTAGTCCATTTTTGTGTCTGTTCTATAGCTTGACTATTCATTCACTCATCCATCCATCCATCCAAACATTCATTCAATGTGTACTGAGAATCTACATGTCACAAAGTATTCTAGGACCTAGGAATTCAAGAGTGACAGGACACAAACACAGACCAAATACAACAGTGGGCTCTAATATGAAGGATGTTATCATTCATCAAGAGTTGGTAGGTAGTCACCGTGCCTGATGGGACTGTGCCCCTTCTCCAGTGGCCTTATCTCCAGTCTGGCTCCTTCCAGTTATGTGTCCATATAGACATCCTAGACACCCTCTCAAAGGACACATGTGATCATGCCACTCCCCTCTCTTACAATCCTTTCATGACTCTCCATTGCTTAGAAGAAAAAGTCTAACCCTCTTGTCACATGCCCTCCCATTGCATGGTACTAGTCAGGCTCCTCTAGGGGAAACTAAAAGACGGTTTCCTTGCAGGGGCCATGGCTGTTCAGGAACCTGAGTAGTTAATGTTACTGCTGAGAAACACTTTGGTCTTCTAGATAAGCCAGTTAAGATGGCTTATAATTTTCTCCAGTAATTGTTTTCTTTTCTTGTTTAAAAAATCCCTAACAGAAAGATCTACAGCCAGGGTTTGAGGAGAAACCAGAAAACTACCTTTTCTTCGTGGCTTTTATCATCTTTGGTTCATTCTTTACGCTGAATCTTTTTATTGGTGTTATTATTGACAACTTCAACCAACAGCAGAAAAAGATAAGTATGGGGGTTGTCCTGATTTGGTATTTTCACCTCTCTTTTCCAAAGGGCTTGGATGGAACACAGTTCTAATCTAGATTGCTGTGCAAAGTAACGTTTATCATCTGTATGGGAACAAAGACACCTGGAGAAGATTCTTGAAGATATGGCTGAAAAGAGACTGAGAACAGCTGGGTTTTATTAAATCATTGTTTTTACTTTCCATTCTACCTTCTTAAATGGAGGGCATTGTTAAACCCCAACAGAAAAACAAGTACCAGGATTAGTATTTATGACACTATAGTAATATTTTAGTAACCTTTCAAGTGTACCTTGTTATCCAGGATAAAAAGAAAAACTCTTCTCTTCCAGCAAACTTGTGTCCTGGCTTCCAGCACGTAAGTCTAAGCAGATTTATTGAACTTGGAAAGATGTTTGGGGAAGCAGCAGGTTTTTTTAGTGAGATTTTTTTCTTCATGCATTATAATAAACAGATGTTTATTTTTTTCTGATTCTGTAATTCACAGGGGATCTGTAGTAAATGTGGAAAATAAAGATTAAAAAAAATTTAAACCACTCATAAGGTGACCATCAAATGATAACAATTTTAGATTAAGCTTCATCATTTTGACATAATCTCTTCCAGTTACTTTCTCACTGAATATGTATGTATTCCTTGTACATGGTTGAGATTACATGATACTTTTAATTTTGTAGCTTCCCCTCCTCCCCATGGGTTATGAGCCCATGTGATGAAATCATCTTTGTTATAAGAATTTTTCAGAGCTAAATTGCATCCCATTATTATGGATAAATAATAATTTATCTTAATTATTCCCTTATTTTTTGGACATTTAGATCATTTACAAATTTCTTGCTCTTTTAAAACAATCATGAACATTCCTGAAATTCTCTGTGTATCAGCAATTATTTCTTCAAGATAAGTTTCTAGAATTTAAGGCATTAAAGATATATTGTCAAATAACCTTTCAGAACTGCTGTGCTAGGTACTCTTCTTTTGCAAGATGTAAATATGCTTATTTGCTCTGTTCTCACCATTCTTATTTTTATAATTTTTATTATCTTTTCCAGCTTGTTGGTAAAAGTGTTATCTCATTGTTTTATATTCATTTATTTGGTCATTTGTGAGGTTATACACTTTTTCACAGATTGATGGCTGTAAGTATTTCTCCCTTTGTCTCTTTTTTAAAGTTGAGATTGTTATCTTTTTCTTATGTTTTTAAGTAGTAAGTCTAATTTGTGACTTCTTATATTTCTATAATGACAATTTTTATTTATAGACATTTAGTGTTTTTATGGAGTCAGATTCCCAATCTTGTCCTTTTTGGCTTCTTCTCTTGCATGTAGGAACTGAATCCCAAAATCCTAAAATAGGATAACTAAATATTCACCTTTGGTTTTCCTAGTTGTTTTTATGGCTCTTTTTAATTTTTTTTGAACTCTTGCAATCTATCCAAGATGTATCCTGATACTGATCAGCCTTCTTAGTGTCTGCTGGGAGAGTCACTCATTGTCCTTCTGTAACTACATTGCTGCTGTTATTTGGAAGTGTGCTGTGTAGAGTCACCTTTGTAATATGCAGCTTGATTGCAATCAATCCCTGCAATTTGGATGTTAGGCCTTGTGATTTTAGATGGAAGCTTATATTTGAAATCACTGTTTTGATCAGGCCATAGTATTTTGTTTTGTTTTGCTTTACTTTTTATTACAGAAAATTTCCACCATGCACAAGAGTATACTAAAATGAACCTACAAGACCCATCACCCAACACGTTTATTGACTTAAGAACATATTTATGGCATCTATGCCCTTATCCAATGCTGTCACCAGATTTTTTAATAGGGCAGGTGACATCACACTGTTTCACCCACATATATTTCAAAACATATCTCTTTTTTTTTTTATTCTTATGTTAATCCCCATACATTACATCATTAGTTCTAGATGAAGTGTTCCATGATTCATTGTTCGTGCACAACACCCAGTGCTCCATGCAGAACGTGCCCTCCTCAATACCCACCACCAGGCCAACCCATCCTCCCACCCCCCTCCCCTCTAGAACCCTCAGTTTGTTTTTCAGAGTCCATCGTCTCTCATGGTTCGTCCACCCCTCCGAATTCCCCCGCTTCATTCTTCCCCTCCCGCTACCTTCTTCTTCTTCTTTTTTTTTCTTAACATATCTTGCATTATTTGTCTCAGAGGTACAGATCTGAGATTCAACAGTCCTGCACAATTCACAGCGCTTAACAGAGCACATACCCTCCCCAGTGTCTATCACCCAGTCACCCCATCCCTCCCACCCCACCCCCCACTCCAACAACACTCAGTTTGTTTCCTGCGATTAAGAATTCCTCATATCAATGAGATCATATGATACATGTCTTTCTCTCTACTGGGTATTTACCCCAAAGATACAAAAGTAGGGATCCGAAGGGGTACGTGCACCCCGATGTTTATAGCAGCAATGTCCACAATAGCCAAACTGTGGAAAGAGCCAAGATGTCCATCAACAGATGACTGGATAAAGAAGATGTGGTATATATATACAATGGAATATTATGCAGCCATCAAAAGGAATGAGATCTTGCCATTTGCAACGACGTGGATGGAACTGGAGGGTATTATGTTGAGTGAAATAAGTCAAACAGAGAAAACATATCTCTTTTTAAAGATAACCACAATTCCTTGGGCGCCTGGGTGGCTCAGCCGTTTAGCGTCTGCCTTCGGCTCAGGTCATGATCCCAGGGTCCTGGGATCGAGCCCCGCATCGGGCTCCTTGCTCAGCAGGGAAGCCTACTTCTCCCTCTCCCACTCCCCCTGCTTGTGTTCCCTCTCTCGCTGTCTCTCTCTCTCTGTCAAAAAATAAATAAAAATCTAAAAAAAAAAATTAAAAAAATTAAAAAAAAAAAAGATAACCACAATTCCATTACCACACCTAAGAAGTTTAACATGAATTCTCTAAATCTGTCAAATATCCAGTCAACATTCAAATTTCCTTGATTCTTTATTTTCTTAAAATATTTATTCATTAACTAATTCTCTGATCAATTGATACTCTTTTGAGGTCAGGATTAAAATCAGGTCCTCCCATTTGACAGATTCCTTGCTCTCTAGAATGACAAGATATTCCAGGAATCATACTTTTGTGCCAGATCAAGAATCAACCATTTCTCTAAGGAGTTCTGTTTTTTTGGCGGAGGGGGGGGGAGGTGGTATTCTGAGATCACAACTCGAAATGCACATTGTCATTGCTTCAATGCTTTTTCAGTGGACAGAGCTACTTCAAATTTAGGACTTCAAGGAAATGTATGTGGAAATACGAATACTGTTCATTCAAGTTCAGAACTACAAGGTTTTCACTTAACTTCTTCTCTAATAATAATCTGTATCTCCTCTTTTCCACACTGAAAAAACTGATTCTCATGGGCACAGGAAATAATAGAATTAAAATTTTCCATAATTACTCATTTTTGTTTTATCCCCTAAAACACACATAGGACAGTCTCAGAATAATAGTATTAATACACATTGCTGTGATGAATGTAATTACTGAAGACACTTGTATCTGCCAGGCATCCTGGAACAACCTGGTTAACTTCTAGGGCTGCATTTTTTTTTTCACAAAATTTTTTTACTGTGGTACAATATATATAACATGAAATTTACCACCTTAACCATTTTTCGTGTACATTTCGTGTACATTTCAGTGGTATTAAATACATTCATAATGTTGTGTAACCATCACCACTATCCATCCCCATAACTCTTTTCATCTTGTAAAACTGAAACTCTATACCTAATTAGACAATAACTCCCCATTCTCCTTCCCCCCTAGCCCTTGGCAGCCACCATTGCTATGAATTTGACTCTTCTAAGTATCTCATATAAATGGAATCATACAGTATTTGTCTTTTTGTGATTATTTCACTTAGCATAATGTTTTCAAGGTTCATCCATGTTGTAGCATATTTCTGAATTTCCTTCCTTTTTAAGGCTGAATAATATTCCATTGTATGTATATACCACATTTTGCTCATACATTCATCTGTTGATGGACACTTGGGTTGCTTCCACATTTTAGCTATTGTGAATAAAGCTGCTATGAATATGAGTGTTCAAATATCTCTTTGGAACCCTGCTTTCAATTCTTTTGGGTGTACATCCAGAAGTGGAATTGCTGGATCATATGGTAATTCTATTTTTTAATTTTTTGAGGAACCACTGTATTCTTTTCCACAGAAGCTACCATTTTACATTCCCACCAACAGTGTAATTCTGATTTCTCTTCATGCTCACCAATGCTTGTCTTCTCTTTTTGTGATAGTAGCCATCCTAATGGGTGTGAGGTGGTACCTCATTTTGGTTTTTGTTTGCATTTCCATAATGACTAGTGATATTGAGTGTTTTTTCATATGTTTATTGGCTATTTGTATATCTTTTTTAGAGAGATGTCTATTCAAGTCCTTTGCCAGTTTTTGAATTGGATTGTTTTATTTATTTATTTATTTTGAGTGTAATTGACACATGATATTATATTACTTTAAGGTGTACCACATAGTTATTTGACAAGTTTATATGTTATGCCATGATCATCACAAGTGTTGCTATCATCTGTCACCATACAACACTATTAACAATATCACTGACTGTATCCTTATATTGTGCCTTTTGTTCCCATGATTTATTCATTCTATAACTGGAAGACTGTACTTCCCACTCCACTCAACCATTTTACCCATCCCCCATCTCTGTCCCCTCTGATAACCATCTGTTGTTCTCTGTATTTGTAGGCCTGGTTCTGCTTTTTGTCTTTTTATTTATTTGTTTTTTAGATTCCACATATGAGTGAAATCATATGGTATTTATCTTTCTCAGTCTGACTCATTTCACTTAGCATAATACCCTTTAGGTCCATCCATGTCTCAAATGGCATGAACTCATCCTTTTTTATGGTTGCATAATATTCCTGTGTGTGTGTGTGTGTGTGTGTGTGTGTGTGTACACAGGAGTGCACATGCATGTGCACACACACATGTGTACCACATCTTCCTTATCCATTCAGCCATCAGTGGACACAGGTTTCTTTCATGTATTGGCTATAATAAATAAGGCTAACAATAAATATAGGGGTGCATATATCTTTTCAAATTAGTGTTTTCATTTTCTTTGGGTAAATACCCAGTAGTAGAATTACTGGATTGTATGATATTTCTATTTTTAATTTTTTGAGGAACCTCCATACTGTTTTCCACAGTGACTAAATCATTCTGCATTCCCACCAGTAGTGTGTGAGGGGTTCTTTTTCTCCACATTCTTGGCAACACTTGTTGTTTTCTGTGTTTTTGATTTTAGCCATTCTGGCAGGTGTGAGGTGACATCTTATTGTAGTTTTGATTTGTATTTCCCTGATGATTAGTGATGTTGAGCACTTTTTCATGTATCGATTGGCCATTTATATGTCTTCTTTGGAAAAAGACATATTAGGACCTCTGCCCATTTTTTAATTGGATTGTTGAGTTGTATAAGTTATATATTTTGGATATTTACCCCTTATTGGATATATCATTTACAAATATCTTCCCCCATTTAGTAAGTTGCCTTTTTGTTTTGTTGATCATTTCATTCACTGTGAAAAAGCTTTTTATTTTGATGTAGTCCTGATAACTTGTTTTTGCTTTTGTTTCCTTTGCCTCAGGAGACATCTCTAGAAAAATGTTGACAAAATTCAACAGTCATTCATGATAAAACTCTTAACAAAGTGGGTGTAGGGGGAACATACCTCAACATAATAAAGGCCATATATGAAAAACCCATGGCTGACATCATACTCAGTGGGAAAAAACTGAGAGCCTTTCCTCTAAGATCAGGAACAAGACAAGGATGTCCACTCTTGGCACTTTTATTCAACATAGTACTGGAGGTCCTAGCCACAACAGTCAGACGGGAAAAATAAATGAGTCATCCATATTGCTAAAGAAGTTACACCATCACTATTTGCAGATGACATGATACTATACATACAAAATCCTAAAGACTCCACCAAAAAACTACTAGAGGTAATAAATGAGTTCAGTAAAGCTGCAAAACACAGAATTAATACCCAGAAATTGGTAGCATTTCTATACACTAATAATGAAGTAGCAGAAAGAGAAACTAAGAAAACAATTCCATTTAGAATTGCACTTAAAAGAATAAAATACCTAGGAATAAATTTAACCAAAGAGGTGAAAGACCTATACTCTGAAAACTAAAACACTGATGAAAGAAATTGAAGATGACACAAACAAATGGAAAAATATTCCATGCTCGTGGATTAGAAGAATTGATATTGTTTAAATGTCCATACTACCCAAAGCAATCTACAGATTCAATGCAATCCCTATCAAAATACCAGCAGCATTTTTAACAGAGCTAGAACAAATAACACTAAAATTTGTATGGAACCACAAAAGACCCTGAATAATCAAAGCAATCTTGAGAAAAGAAGAACAAAGCTGGAGGTATCACAGTTCCAGATTTTAAGATATACTACAAGGCCGTAATAATCAAAACAGTATGGTACTGGCACAAAAATAGACACATAGATCAATGGAACAGAATAGAGAGGACAGAAATAAACTCATACTTACATAGTGAATTAATCTATGACAAAGGAGGCAAGAATGTAAAATGGGTAAAGAGCATTCTCTTCAATAAATGGTGCTGGGAAAACTGGACAACTACATGTAAAAGAATGAAACTGAATCACTTTCTAACACCATATACAAAAATAAACTCAAAATGGGTTAAAGACCTAAATGTGAAACCTGAAACCATGAACATTCTAGAAGAGAACACAGATAATAATTTATCTGACATTGGCTGTTTTTGTTGTTGTTGTTAAATTTTAGGAGTTTTCCATATATTCTGATTAATCCCTTATCAGATATATGATATATAAATATTTTTCCCCATTTTGTGGGTTGCCTTTTTACTCCATTGATAGTATCTTTTGATGCACATAATTTAAAAATTTTTATGAAGTCCAATTTGTCTATTTTTTCTTTTGTTATCTGTGCCTTTGGTATCCTATGCAAGAAATCATTGCCAGATCTAGTCTTATGAAGCTTTTGCCCTATGTTTTCTTCAAAGAGTTTTGTTGTTTTAGATCTTACATTTATGTCTTTGATGTATTTTGAGCTATTTTTGTGTATGGTGTTAAGTAAGAATTTAACTTTATTCTTTTGCATGTGGATATCCAGTTTCCCTAGGACCATTGTTGAAAAGATGATCCTAGGGATGTATATTTTTGGTCCATACTGGTAGTGGTGAAAATTTAAATCCCACACCATTATCAAGGCAGGCCCAGATTCCCAGATTCTCAGGGAAGACTGGGTTTTTACCCATAGTCCAGACTAAGACAGTTTCCTACTTGTATTCCACTGCCTATTGACAGATTCTGTTTTTTTCTTCACCCTTTCATCGGCAGCACTTAAGGAGTCTCGGATTCATGCTGGGACCTTGGCATAAACCTTTTCCCCATGACTCCCTTGTAGTTATTAAGGCCCAAGATTCTAGTTTTTACAGAGATTAGCAAATGCTCTTAGGCCAGCAGTGGCTTCAGGCTAATTTGCTACTCTTTGATCACTGTTGATTTTCAGACCCCGGAGATTTTCCTTACTTTTGTGCAAGTTTAGCTATACATTTTAAAAGAATTCTGTTGTAATTTACCTAGCATTTCTAGATATTTTACTTCCTCCTAAAATTTCCAGAAATGAAAATTCTTGTTCATATTTCTATTTGTTCTTGCTCAAAAGTGAAAACATTTAAAGCTCTCTAGTTCTTTTTTCTCTGAGAATGGGTCTGGAAAATTTTATTAATAGCAATACATGCATTTATTCATTTATTTAAGAGAATTTTAATTGCCATTTGGTGAGATTTTTGTTTAAATTTTTGTTACTAATATCTACTTTTCTTGCATTGTGATTTGATTTATGCAACCTAAAATATACTCAATTTTTTAAAGATGTGGATGTTTGCAAAGAGTATGTAATCTTTGTTCATATTCTAAAAAGTAAGATATAGCTTATAAAAGTAGCATTTTTTCCTTTCCTTAATTTAAATCTTGTTTCAGCCCTCCTATAGAGTCCAGCCTCTTTTGCTTCCCAATGGAATTTTAGGAATTGTTGATAGACTGTAATATAACTTTGAAACTATTTCTGAAAATTCAGAACTTGTTTCCAAAAAAACCTGTTAATGATAATTAGCTCTCATCTTCTCCAAATACTTAGGTGATGAAGACATTTTTATGACAGAAGAACAGAAGAAATACTATAATGCAATGAAAAAATTAGGATCCAAAAAACCTCAAAAGCCCATTCCAAGACCTCTGGTGAGAGCAACTGATTCATTCTAAATACATAGATCCATTAAGTGGTCTTGAGCTCAGATGTCTGCAGTGCTGTTCTTTATTTTTTAAGTTTACAGACATTATCTAAGAACTCAACAAAGACCCAGATACACTGGTGTCTGGCTCAAGTCTTTGGGAAAATTAGACATTCAAATTCAATAATAAGAACTTGAGCAACAACTTTCATTTGCTTTTTAGTGAGCACAAAATAGGTGCTTAGTATATACTCATTGCAATGATGTAAACTTAATAGTTTGTTTTAACTAAATCTTTTTTTAAAATTTAAAGTCCAGTATAGTTAACATACAGTGTTATATTAGTTCCAGGTGTACAATGTAGTGATTCAGCACTTCCATACGTAACCCAGGGCTCATCATGACAGGTGCTCTCCTTAATCCCCCCCAACCACGTCCCCTCTGGTAACCATCACTTCTCTATAGTTAAGAGTCTGTCTCTTGGTTTGCCTCTCTCTTTTTTGCCCCGTTGTTCATTTGTTTTGTTTCTTAAATTCCACATATGAGTGAAATCATATGCCATTTGCCTTTCTCTGACTTATTTCACTTAGCATTATTCTCTCTAGCTCCATCCAGGTCATTGCAAATGGCAAGATAGCATTCTTTTTATGGCTGAATAATATTCCTTTGTATATATACCACATCTTCTTTACCCATTCATCAGTTGATGGACACTTGGGCTGTTTCCATAATTTGGCTATTGTAGATAATGCTGCTCTAAGTATCGGGGGGAATGTATCCCTCTGAATTAGTATTTTTGTATTATTTGGGTAAATACCCAGTAGTGTGATGGCTGGATCTTAGGTAGTTCTATTTTTGGGTTTTTGAGGAAACCCCATACTGTTTTCCACCAGTTTGTATTCCCACCAATACAAATGTACATGAGTGGTCCTTTTTCTCCACATCCTCACCTACACCCATTGTTTCTTATGTTGTTAATTTTAGCCATTCTGACAGGTGTGAGGTGATATCTCATTATAGTTTTGACTAAATATTGACCAATTTAAAATGCATTTATAATATCTTTTTCCAGCCTTTTCTGGTGTGAAGTCTAGGTCATGCATACTGGCTTCCACTTCATCAGTATTTATCATAAAATTTCTATATCAGGACTTGACAAAAAAAGGGACAGATAGTAAATATTGTAGGCTTTGCAGGCCACATGGTCTCTGCCACCACTATTCAGCTCTGCCATATAACACAAAAGCAGCCATAGATAGTATAGAACAATGTGCATGGCTGTGCTCTAGTGCAACTTGATTTATAGACACTAAAACTTGGATTTCTTTAATTTTCACATGTCAAAATTTTATTTTCCTTTTCAGTTCTTTCCCCAACATTAAAAAATGTAAAATCACAGGCTATACAAAAACCAGTAGTGGGCCAGATCTGGCCTACAAGATATAGTTTGCTGACCCTTGCTCTCGATGAATCTTGCTTTATCAGGTACTCCAGAGCTGTCTAACTGAGGAGCTGGAACCTGAACGCATCAGATTATAAAGTAATATGCTAGGCATAGTTGGTAGGTCTGACAAGTAAGTTTGAAGGTTTTCAAGGCAGGGAGGGTCAATGGGGAAGTTCAGGAAAGTAGTATGGGAGAAGGGCTTGATATCCGAAGCATGTATAGGATTTAGAGATTTTCATACGAACACGAGACCCCAAATTATCAAAGGTATGTTTAGTTTACTGCTATTCCCATGACTCAGAAAAGAGCCTGGCTTAAAGTGTATTCTCAGTAATTATTATTTGAATGAAAGAGTATGTTTTAGGGTACACACAGAGTCCATCCCACTAGGATTAAATATTTGTGTTGCACTAAAAATATCTGGGAATGTTAGGGCAAAGTGTTTAGAATTTATACAATGAAGAATTTTTTACTGAGAGGTTAATAAGACAATTGTATCTGGAGAGGTTCTTATTTGAACTTGAGCCAACAAAAAAGACAAAGAGAATTTTTATTTACATGTGCATGCTGTGCAACCACTGACTCAATACCAGTTGGTCCTAGATTTGAAATTAACTAAAAGAATCATGAGACACAATAGGTTCCCACATATTTAACCATTTATTTCATAAAGAATATGAATCAAAAGGCAGCACATAGCCAAACAGAAGTTGCAATGACACAGCTGCAGCTTCGAGGCCTCTCCCCTGCACTGGGCATGCTAAGCTGCAAGGGATGAGTTTCAGGTGGGCAAGGACTACTTTATCCGAGGCAAGCTTCTACCTCCATGCTTTAACTATGTCTTCTGGCATGTTCATCACATGGTTCATCTGGAAATAGGTGTCATGCCATAGCCCTCCCTGTGTAGCTACAGCTTACCAGTCAGGGCTTCACAAGGAGTAACTCCAACAAGCAGGTATCATCTCCCCAGTTATGTATCACATTTACCTTAACTGCTATATTCCAGAGAGCACTGTTGCATGAGATAAATACATATTCCAGATGTCCCTGGTTTGAGTTAAGATTTTCAAATCAGCTGTTAACCCTTAACTTTATCTCCCCACAGACTTTTTTTAATCTCTAAAATCTAAATATTATTTTTGACCTTTGGAACAAATAAATAGCAATTGCATGGGGTTGTGGGGGAGTCTAGCTGTTTTAACCTGAGCAGTGATGCATTTTATTTTTAACAGTAGAGGAAGGGATCTGGAATCGTTTCTGATTCTTTCTGAACCATCCACACAGATGATACTGAGGTGAAGGATTCACTGTACATTCTAAAGTGATATCGAATGCTTTTTGATATCTACCAGTTTAGGTAACTTGTATTCTTGATCTCTGTTTCTCTAAATACTGGAGTTAAACTATTAGGCCTAGGCTTACTCTCCCTCACTGTTGTTCTTGCCAATCACTGTGATTCCCTGGAGAGCACTCTTAAAAGTATCTTTTCTCCAGGTCCTTTCTGACTTCTTAGAAGTGTTCTCACACAGCAAATGCAATTGACTTTCAAGTTTCTTCTCCAGACTCCTTGATAAAAGTTTTAATGATTCTGGGACAAAATTTCAAAGACACCAACTTAAATGTAGTATCCCTCCAGTGCTGTCCCTATCCTCTTTCTTCTCATGGTCCTTGCTCTCCCTGACCGATATCGTCCACTCTCATGGTTTTAATTAATGTCAGTATTGGTGCCATTGAACTCCACATCTGCATTCCAGCTCTGCACCTGAGCTCCAAACCCATACCTTTACCTGCCCAAGGTCCTCAGATCCCCCCCTGGCCCCTCGAATTCAGTGTTCTCAGGACAGATCTTATCATTTCCCTCCAAAGTGCCTCATTCTCTGTTCTCTTGAATGGCTCCACCAACCAGAACGATAGCCTCAACCTATCATTTCCCCATAGTCACCTCCATTCAAACTCTTACTCCTTCTGCATCTACTTCCATATTAGCTCTTAAACCTAAATGCTTATATCTCTCTCCACTATTACCACCACAAACCAACATCATCTTTTGTCTGATTTCCGTAAGAGATACCTAGGGTTCTAAAAATGATTCTCAGGAGTTTATGAGTTTTCTAAATAGACTAGTCTATGTATATTTCAATTAGATGATAATATGATATAAAATACCTTAATGTATACATATATTGTAAAACAACCCATTTACAGTCAAGAATACCATACAATATTCATGTCTGAGTTTGTGTTTAAGAATAGTTTTCCACTAAGTAAAGAGAAGTAGTGCTTCACAGCTGTTAGATTACAGAAAATATAGTGAGACAATTGAGTCATTTCACTGTACGTGGTGGATTAGGCATGCAAACTTGAGCTAGAACCTGAACCAGAGTAATTAACATATACTTACTTTGTGAGTAGTATGACCATCTATGTACCAACCAATATGTAAGTTCACCATCAATAATAAAATGAAATAATCAATTTTTCTATTTCTGTTTTTAGTAATCATTACATCACAATCCCATTTATCTAGGCTTATTTTCAAGTGAACCATATTTAGAAAATTGGCGTTCAAGAACTGCTTGAATACAGAGTTTTGGTTAAGTATACTTAGGTCTGATCATTCTGAATTAACAAGTGGAGGCTTGGAGATGTTAATTCCATTTCGTCCAACATAATTATGTGAGTAGGTATTCTCTGCATTAATATTATTGAAGCCCATATAAAGAAACAGATGAAATATAGAAACTGAAGTTCATCTTTTTATTATTAAATCCAACAGGAGCTGTTTTATTTCAGCAAAACATCATCCATCACATCAAAGTTATGTCATTACCAAACATTTTTTTCATTTTAAAATGGAATTAAAGCTACACGCTTACAACTTCAAAAACAGTTACATAATTAAATTTAAATGAAAATGTAAATGCAAGAATTTCTTGTTGTTTAAAACAGGTGTGCATTTTTTAAGAAACTGCTTCAATTGTAAGAGAGGACAAATTCTGTTGTATGTGCCTTTTTTGTGTATGTGATTTCATTCTTACAATGCAAAATGATCTAAGATTCCTTTTTTCTTTTCCGTCTCAGAATAAATGCCAAGGTCTCGTGTTTGACCTAGTCACAAGCCAGGTCTTTGACATCATCATCATCATCCTCATTTTCCTCAACATGGTTAGCATGATGGCTGAATCAGATGACCAGTCTGAAGCCACGAAACTCATCCTTGAGCGTCTCAACCTGGCCTTTGTGGTCATCTTTACAATTGAGTGTCTCACCAAAATCTTTGCTTTGAGGCAATACTACTTCACCATTGGCTGGAATTTATTTGATTGTGTGATTGTGGTTCTTTCTATCGTTAGTAAGTAATATCAGAAACCCAAGGGGCTTTAATCTGAGAGCTAGAAGTAAATCTTACCATTTGGAAGTATGTCCAAACTATCCACAAAGCAACAAATTAGGCTTAATGTGGTTTCTGAAAAAATAAACAGGTGTATTGATGCCATTCTCTACTGGGAAGTTGCTAGGAGATACAGAGCAATTTTCATCCCCTTGACTGTTTACACTACTGAAATAGAGTTAAACAATTGTGTGGATCCATTTATTCAATGGAGATAGACAAAACTAAGATGACCTTAAAGTGTTTGTGGGGATACCTGGTATATCCAGGTAACTGAGTCAAAGGTCTACCTTTCATGGGCAACTATAAACTCTCAGGAGCATCTTTTAGTCTTAAGGATTTGGTACTTAGTTCCCATGGTTTTCTTTAGTTCAGAAATCCATGTGGATATCAGATCACAATTATTGCGCCCCTGTGACATTGCTAGGTCTTCTCTCACCTCCTATATAGGACCTCCATGGCCCAGCCTAGACTGGGTTTCCTAGAGTGTGTCATGAGGGCAAGCAATGCTTTCTCTCTATTCTGTATCCCATGTTAACTTAAACCACAGCATGAACTATGCTTGTCTCAACTGCTTGGACCCCATTCACCAACCAGTCTTGCTCTATAATCAGTATATTTTTCTTAACATAGGCAGGATTAACTATAAGATTTGTGGAAGAAGAATAGAGAAAAAAGGGGTTGTTGCCATATACCTTTTTTATAACACACACACACACATCAACTTTGAAATTAAATTCTTCATGGCTAAACCATAAGAGTTTACACTCTGGGTTTTTGCAGTTTGCTTTTAACTAAACCGATAATTTGACTTTTTACAATTGTGTGCAACCACCCAGGGGCCATTCCCATAGTTCAAAAAACAATGAAGACAATGAAAACTGATTTCACAAGTGGAAGATTTTGTACTATTTCAGAAAGAATGTGTTAAACAGATATGTGAGATCAAAATATTTTGGTTCCTGTCACTACAGCAGCAATGCAGATGTTTCCAAGAACAAGAAAATGGTACAGTTCATAGTCTGTTCTGGTTTCTAAGCCATGAAGTTTATGTAGATAAAGTTTAGAAATAGATCCTTCCACACACCTCCAGTGAAATAGACTGCCAATCTTTATCAGTCAATTCCAATTCCAAGTCCTGGTGAAATTAACAGCAGCAATAAGGGCAGGAAAATGATGGTAGAATGACTCTGGCACAGCCCTCTGAGAACTTGAAGAACCCCTTCCTCCAATATGCAGAGAGCAGCTCATTTTTTCCACTACTTACTGAACTCCTTCCAGGCAGTGCTAGCCAGCATGCAGGTTGTGGAAATATCTCTTACTTCTGTCTTTTGAACAACTGCTAGGCAATTGCAGTTACACAGCAGAGCACTGGATAGCATTTTGCTCCAGTGGATGAGAAAATCCACACATTGAGCCAAATCCTACTCACCAACGTGGGCAGCATTTTATACACCTTTGCCAGTAGATCTGCCACCCAACACTAAGCCTCTACACTTTCCCAAGGTCTTTCCTAAGCTTTTAGAGAAATACAAAATGAGTATGAGTCAAAGTGAATCCTTCTCTAGGAGTTAACAATGCGGTTTAAGTATTAAGACTTACTTACCTTAGAGAGTCAGAAAAAGAGGAAACTGTACACCAAATCCCATGGTACGCAAAAGAACTGAGCTCAATAAAGGACAGATTACTGTGGGCTCCTATTAGTCAAAGAAATATTTGTGAAGGAGGTAGCCTTAAAGGGTGGACCTCCTCCAGTTGTTGTTAAGTTGGAACTTAATAAATCTACATCTCACTAGATTTGGCTGTCCAATTAACATATGAATTCAACTTCGTTGGCACAATTGGGCAGTTGGTGAAATATATTATGAACTAGTTCTCTTTAGTCATTAGGGGATAGCAGACAATTTTGGCTGCCCATCACCCCTAATGCCTTTGAGGACCCCCCCACCCAGAGCAAGAGCAAGGCCATGTCTACACAAGGCAAGCATGTTCCAGCCATTCTATAATATTTGGACCAAAATGTGAATTATTTCAAATCTTGTATCAGTTGCTTACAGAATAGGCAATGAGAGAACAGGATGACATTTTAGGCCAAATAATCAGCTGTTTGCAGAAAACTTTGCTCGAGATGCTATTTTTGGAGGCATCTATAACAATAAGGAAAGTATCTCCAACTTAATCCCTTAAGCTTTTTGAGTGGATCTCGGGAGTCCTTCCTTGGGATGAGCATATTGACAAATATGAGAGCTCCGTGGCAAGTTCCACCCAGAGTTGAGCATCCCAACACCACCATCTCCCTCCAGCCCTGTCCTGTCCTCACCTGTAGGAGGCTGTGTTCAAATTCCCCTATGCAAATAAAACCCTGCCTTTTTAAGGAGCTTTGGGGTTAGAAGTTCCACAATTTCCACTGAAAGCTCAGGCTTAAGTCAACCATCAATCAGTATCAGAAGTTTCTCCTTATGCTAATCTGAAGGACTCCATCCTTAGTTTATCTGCTTTCCATTCTATATATCCAATAAATATGGATATATGGAAAATAAATATGGAAAACTATTATATTTGTTATCTCATGAGTGACTTTCAAAACCCAATATAGATAATGCACTTCAAGTGTTTGAGATAAGTCACAATATAGGCTTTCATAAGCTGCATTCTCTTTCTTTTCCTTGGGTATCTTCAATATTATAGACATCCTATTTCATCTAAAGTCCCATCTAAAGTCGGACAGTGCTTGGAAATTATTTTCCAAGTTAAGACACAGATAGATATTTTCCCAATATTGATAAAGAAAGTTCTTAATTTGTGCAGTGCACAAATTACAAAGTACTGATTAAAGTTGGTCCCACTAAGATTCCAAGGCAGGAGAGAGAGGCTGGATCTGAAAGCAGGGTGCCTGTTGGAAATTAATTTCCTTATCTCCTTCTCCTAAGGTACAATGGTTTCTGCCTTGGAGAACCAGCAGCACATTCCCTTCCCTCCAACACTCTTCAGGGTTGTCCGCTTGGCTCGGATTGGTCGGATCCTGAGACTTGTTCGGGCAGCACGAGGAATTAGGACTCTCCTTTTCGCTCTGATGATGTCTCTTCCCTCTCTATTCAACATCGGTCTTCTACTTTTTCTGGTTATGTTTATTTATGCCATTTTTGGTATGAGCTGTTTTTGCAAAGTGAAAGAGGAGCATGGAATTGATGATATATTCAACTTCAAAACTTTTGTTGGCAGCATACTCTGTCTCTTCCAGATCACCACCTCAGCAGGCTGGGATGCCCTCCTCAAGCCCATGCTGCAATCAAAGGATTCATGCAACCCCAACTTAGACAGCCGTCACCTCCCTGCCATAGCCATCACCTACTTCGTCAGTTACATCATCATCTCCTTTCTCATTGTTGTCAACATGTACATTGCTGTGATTTTAGAGAATTTTAACACAGCCACTGAAGAAAGTGAGGACCCTTTGGGTGAAGATGACTTTGAGATATTCTATGAAGTCTGGGAAAAGTTTGACCCAGAAGCAACACAGTTCATCAAATATTCTGCCCTTTCTGACTTTGCTGATGCCCTTCCTGAGCCTTTGCGCGTGGCAAAGCCCAATAAATTTCAATTTCTCATGATGGACTTACCCATGGTGAGTGGAGATCGTCTCCACTGCCTGGATATTCTCTTCGCATTCACCACTAGGGTACTCGGTGACTCCGGTGGCCTGGACAGCATGAAAATGATGATGGAGGAGAAGTTCATGGAAGCCAACCCTTCCAAGAAGTTATATGAACCCATAGTCACCACCACCAAGAGGAAGGAAGAGGAAAGATGTGCTGCTGTTATTCAAAAGGCCTTTCGAAAATACAGGCTGAAGATGTCCACATGTGCCTTGGAAGACAGGCCCCGTTCACCACTCCACACACTCTGCAATGGAGACCTGTCCAGCTCTGGGGTGGCCGAGGGCAAAGTCCACTACGACTGAGCCTTTACTTCCACTCCTACCTCACAGCCTCACAACCTGGCCTCTGGCATCTGAGCTCCAGGGGTCCACAGCTCAGTGTGTGAACAAGCAGTTGACTCCCTGAACTAGCCATCCCATTTTTTTCTGCCTAAAAGAAGTGATATTTCAATGTTTATTTCAAACAGGTCTTACAGGGATAGAAGATAAGGCTGTCTATGAATCACTGGTACTGTTTTAGCAAGGAAAAAGACACTAGAAGGACTATAAAGGACACACCAATGTCGGGATTGAAACACAGTTCAAATCACGTAAAAAAAAAAAAGAATAAGAAACAAAAACATGTTAAAAATTTAGATAGTGTTTTTCCCCATATTGTTTCTAAGTACATTGCTCAATACCTTTGTTCAGGGTTTTCCCCAATGCAAGTATGTGGCTCATCACATATAACTCTCTTGTATGCGGAGTAAAAATTCAAAACCTGCCAATAAATAAATAGCTTATTACAGATATTTTTACCAACATTAGTATTTTGGGTTTATTTTGAACAAAAGGTGTGATCTTGACTTGTCATTTACCACCCTATCTTTCACCAGCTACAATCTCCGTTATATACATTTGGGAAAAAAAATAAATAAATGAGACTTTCAGTTTGTATTTTCATTCAGATGGTATATTCATTTAGATGTATTTCATTCAGATGGTACATTTCATTCAAAAAATCTTCTTTGGTGGCTACGTAAGTAGCCATTCAAAAGTGGTTCTTTGTTTGGAATTAAGATGGGAGACCATCATATGCTGATAAGTGTGTAACAATTAGCTCTTCAGGAAAAAAAAGTGCCACGATTTGTAACATGTATTGATTTCTGTGGTGAATACACCCATCAGGACTGACTTCAGTCTACCACCATGATATTCCTGAATGTGAAGTTGGGAAGAGATGCCCAATCGGTTCTTATGAACTGGCCCTAGTTGGCTCCAGCACAGCACTGGCTGGAACCAATAAGAAAGCCTCATTTAAAAAATCTGTGGTGACCACCTTGGACTGAGAGAGCACCTTCTTAGCCACACCTGGACCTTGGTGTTGGAGGGCCAGAGAAGGCACTGGTTAGCCAGTGATCTTAGCTTGATGACCCCTGTATTCAGTTCTGGCTGAATGTCTGCATGAAATGCAGTCCAGAGAACAACCCAGGCCTATCAAAAGGCCCAGGACTTCCCTAAAAACTGGAGATGCCCAGAGACCAAACAAGACGTCAGGCCTGGCAAGAAGCTGCCCTGGGAGTAGAGAACCTACATTGTGATAATTGAATTGTGGAGTAAAACCCTGTGCAAAGCAGACCCGCAGATAGGCTAGAGGGGCTGGCATGCCATCAGCAGCCCAACGTGTGAGGTCTGAGCCTCTGAGCCTCTGACCGGCTCCTCCCTGCCCAGCACTGGGTGCTCTGGTGCACTGAGCCAGTGATTATTTTCAGTGTGTATTCACATCCAGGACTTGAATTTTATGAGTTTTGTAGGCAGCCTTACGCTCTGGAGCAGTGGCAAAATAGCAATACTATCATTATCCAATCATTATCAATACCTAATTTTTACTTGTGGTTGCTGTGCATCAGGCACTGGCTGAGCATTTGTCATGAATAATCTCAGTTGTACCTCACAGTAACCCAGTGAGTGTGCGGTCACTCACCTGGTGGTGCCTGAGCCTTTGTGCCATGCTGGGGAAGGGCAGTGGGTGGTGCCAGAGCCAGGAAACCTTTGAGACAGGGCCACAGGGGTTGGCTGCAAGGCTGCAGGGCTGCAAGGGCCTCATAGAAATCACCAGTTCCAAAGTCATGGCCAGTTCCACCTGAGGCACCATGGATGACTGATGACTTCCCTAAAAGATGCCTCTGATTATGAACACTGGGTGTTTTACTGATGCCTACCAAGTTTTCTGAACAAGGTGGCTGACCATCATTCCAGCAGGAACACCTTCTGGCTGGAGGTAGGGGAGGCTCTGGAAGGATGTGGTCTTGCCCATCCCAGATTACAGTTTAAGGGCCTGGGTGTGATCTGTTCTGTGCAGAAGCTTCGCCTTTCCCATACACACCTGTCCATCCCCAGATGGTCCCCTTTTGCCAAGGCTGGGTTCCTGAAGCCAGCTCTCAGGGAGAGCACAAGATCTGCTTAGCTTTAGCAAGAAACTGAGCCACACTTCCTTCACTAGATGGCAGCAAATGCCCAACATGCTCTTTTCTGAGCACTGCACGGCATCTGTGTGTGAGCCTGGCCCTCAAAGAGCCAGAGGGCTAAGGGAGGAAAGTCAAGGCAGGAAGTGGTGAATTATCTAAATCATGGATGGGTGCTAGAAAGCTCTCCCCCCCTGAGAAAGCTCTCACTCTTCGAGGATCCAGGATACCCCCCAAGACAGAGATGATAGTCTGAGCTCCGTCCTCCTGGGGCCATGCTGAATGTCCAGGGCAAACAGCCCTACAGGCACAAGAAGCTAGCTGTCTTGTCTTCTGAGTCTTATATTCAGGCAAATCAGCCCCTGTTTAATTCAATCAACAAACATGTTCTTGAGGGCCAGTACAGTACCATCCTGTGTAAACTGCTCACAACCAATGGCCCTTAACCTCAAGAGCATATATGCTGATTGGGAAGAGTATTAGACAAGCATTCACGTGATGATAATACAATGCAACAGAACAGGTGCAGTAAACCAAGGACACCCTTCTGCTCTGAGCGTGTCACTGCAGGCGGGCTCCCGGGAAGGCTTCATGAAATAGAGTGGGGCACCCGAGATGAGATTGATAGATGTACAGGATTGTGACGGGGGTCGGGGAGAGGTTTGTTCGGGAGGGTGTTTGAAGTGGAAGGGACAGCAGAGTGTAAGGAGTATAAGGAGAAAGTGTAGGGCGCCTGGGTGGCTCAGTTGGTTAAGCGACTGCCTTCCGCTCAGGTCATGATCCTGGAGTCCCAGGATCGAGTCCCGCATCGGGCTCCCTGCTGAGCGGGGGGTCTGCTTCTCCCTCTGCCCTCTTCCCTCTCGTGCTCTCTGTCTCTCATTCTCTCTCTCTCAAATAAATAAATAAAATCTTTAAAAAAAA